GGAAAGGAAAGGAAACTATGATAGCAGTAATTGCGTGTATGGGAAAACAAAGAACCCACCAGAACAATCCACAAATATACGTTGACGAGAGGATCTTCTAGCCTTAATTGTCGTTGTAAATATACCTTATCCCTTCACGAGACTATAATGACGCGAGTAACAAATGCATTACCAATGTCTCAAATGCTGTTGTGATAGTGGAAGAAGAAAACAAATAGCATGAGTATGGACGTCAACTTCAGCTCTTATATAGCTCCTTCATCTTTTGATCGTGACACAATATCCAAACAACGTGCAGAAGGATGCTTGTTGTAACGGAAGATGCATCTCGAGTATCACAAATCTCTTGTCGCTCATCATAGCACACTCCAAGTACCTGATCCATTTTTATCTCCACTCACAAAAAAAGCAATGCATGATCGAACCAAATACCATCATAGTCATCGTGAATTCCATAGCTATAAGGGAGAAGGCATTCCATAATGAGCGCTGTAGAAGCCATAGCTAACAACATGAGCTGGTGTATGGGAGCAGTTGCTTGTTGGCATGAGGAGGGACCCTAAGTTGTGAACGTGTTGCTGGGATACAACAAAGCTACTACCATGCGGATTTTGCCTCCGACCAATCATGCAACCCATGACAACGCCTGTTACTTAACATACAATGGATTTTGCAATGGTACAATGGACGTATCATTTTGTACTTTGATCCTCACACTACGAGCACATTACCATGGATGGGGCGTGTAAAGGCAATCGATCATAGCACATCAGCTTCAAACCTCCATAGTCAATCCCGCATTACACCCTCCCATTCAGATTTTTGTAATGAAGTATAAGTCCTTTATTTATTACAAAGTTGATCAGCATACCCAAGAGCACCTTGTGTGAAAGTTTCAAGTTTGAGACGGGAAATCTCACTATCAAGGTTTGCATGTACAGTGGTCATGCATTTATACAAGAGGTGTCCGCCCTATTTAATTTCCACTTCGTCCACTCCCACTTTATTCCCTCTTCCTCCCATACTATATTGGTGCATTCAAGTACACACTATTACCACCTGCGAACGATCGCCTTGCCTCAGCCCATCATGTCAATCCCGCAGCTGCCTGGATCCGATTGTCTTTGACTGAATGGCAAGCCCAATGGCGTGTACAACCCACTACAACACACGCCTTCCGTTGACACTGCACCTTCTCTTGTACACTCGTCTGCCACAATCAATCATAACAGCGTTCACTCCATCAGTTGCTATTAGCAAGAGCTTTACACCATTGTCTTCAACAGCGTTCTTTACTTGCAGCAACTTGCCTTACAGTCTTCGTTACGTGGACAGCAGATAGGCCATTGTATAGAAGCAGCTTTATTTACGTGTAGCAACTTGCTACATACAATACAAACGGATCCTCATACGTGATGCCATATCAACCATCAACTACTACTGCACAATGCAAACATTCTTCATCTGGTTGAGCTGCAATAGAAGATGACCAAGCAAGTGATTGGCCAACGACCTGATGGAAAAGGAAGTTTGTCAACAAGCGACCACAGGAATTCTTTCCATCAACATGTTGGACTTGCAATGGTTATGGATGGATGCAATCGATCACATTGTTAGGTGATCCTGAAATGTCGTTTTGGTTACTTGGCACGTCGTCAGCAGGAAGGATGGATCATGTTACGAGTATGCGGGTGAGGATGATGGTGGGGTGGATGGCATGGATGAGATGGCTTATATCTTTGACGAAAGGCGGTTTGTTGCGATGAATGATGTTGGATATTGGAATCACAGCAATCACAGCAACCAGTTTGATATCATGAATGAAGATGTTTATGGTGGCAGCAACCAAGGATACAATGACACATTCTTCCCTGTGGCCTTTATGTGATTCACCCCCCCCATACCTTTGATGTTCCCGTATCATATTTACTTCATAAACATTCACATTACAATACGCTATTCTTCGACTTTCATTGAATGAAGATTGGGTTCAACAAACTACTTTGGGGTATCATACGTACTATTAGTTGATGTGCGCAAAATGTGGATCACTTGGTTGGTATGTGGATTGAAAGGGGTAATTAAAAAAGGTTGGATCGTTTACATCATCGCATCGAGGTGCTTTGGCTGATAAAGAACGACAAAGTGGGGATCTATGAGAAGATGCAGTAATTGTGAATAGTTCAAGAAGCTATGTCTTTCGCGACACCGACACACGGTACGCCATACGTAGTAATAGATGATAGCTGTACACGAAAATTGGTTTGAAAGTGTTGCAAATGATTGGGATGCTTTCATGGGTTTTGCTGGATCTCTTCCCCACCTTCCAATCATGAACTCACCAGGTACATGTACTCTTGCATAGTCTATATTCTCCAGTGTGTAGTTTGACATGAAGAGTGGGCATTGACTTCCGGTGTAGAGCTGTGTTCCTTTCAAATTTGAGAGCGGAGGTATGCAATAGACGCACAGACCACATGTTGGGTTAGATTAATTAGTGCAACAGGTCGAGTCATCAACGATGCTACGCAATGCGCTTGGATCTCTCTACGTGGGTCATTACGGGTGCCTCATATCAAGATTTGGATTCAAAGTTATTGAACGGCAATGGTGCGAATGCAGTAAGAGGGTGGATCCAAACATGATCCAGACGAGATAATTTCAAATGGCAACTTGGGCTCCTCTTCCGCCTTCCCACCTCAGCAACAACTCGCACGTCCCATAGCAACACGCATCTTCAACTCCCATCCATGCACAACTTGAACTCTTGATTGGACATCTTACGTTGCCATTAGCAACCACAGCAATGTGCTTGTGCAGCATCATTCCCCCCATTGCCACTCTTTCAACCAAAGGGATCTTGTTCAACAATAGCAGCAGCTTGGCAGTCGTATTATCAACCGTTTTCAAAGATGAGTATCATTCTTTTGAAAAAGGGGTCATTATGGGTATATTAGAAAGGGTTAACAACACTTTCTATATATCGTTGATTCAACGTGGTCGAGATGGGAAACGACGATTTGGATTAAGAGTACCGGTTCCCAATGATACACATAAGCTACAAGGTTTACCCACCGTGCCAAGCAACCTTTACAACATTGTTTCATGTCTTTGTATCGTACGTTATCAAATGGTATATGGATCGCGTGGATGGCGGCTTCAATGAGGAGAAAAGAACGGCTTGACCAGGGTCGATCATTGTTCATGTTGGTACAGGATCAGTAAGATGATTGGTGGTGCAAGGTTGCCTTTGAGGTTAAAGACGGATGGATGCGTGCAACAAGATGGAGCATGTGCTTCCCATTTTCCCCTGGTAATCATTATTCCTTGGACCTGCTGTGTGCATATAGAAAGGATTAGTACATGAAGATGAATAAAGGCTGATTTTGGTATGCTTCAAAGTGTGCGTGTCATTGGATTTCCAAGCGGAAGTTCTCCATTTTGATATGCGTGGGATCATGTGGTGGAAGCAGCAGACGATGATTATTGCCTAATTTGTACGACTGTCAACATCCACAAGCGCAACTATATTTATATGGCAGTGGGTCTCTACATTATCATTCCATGGCACAGCAACATAGCGCCAACGTGTCCATCCTCCCTTAGCGCCGTGTCAAGTTGCAAGCTATACATCGGCATTACTACATTTACTTGAGGATGCTGCGCAATTGTCGTTATAGACACTCGACATGACTCGTAGTAGTACACACCCCCACCTTTTCATGTAACCTACTCGGTAGCATCCACTGAATCCCAAAAGTACATGTAACCTTCATTTCATCCTAATGCGCCAACGCACCATATCCAACAACCACTCCGCCAAACGCACAACAGCTAATTACGTAGTACAGTACAAACTCAAGATTGCCAATAATCAGGCGTGGGTTTTCACGAATCCAAGTGTATATGGATATTGGATCTATCGTAGGGAGAAATGATAGCTGATCATGGCGCGAAAAAGAAGGTTAAAGTGAGCGAGTGCAGATTATGAAACGTTGAAACGTATACGCCTCACCATATGTGGGAAAAGTGAAGCATTGCCGTCATGTTGCCCCCAAAACTTCAAATGACATGCTGACCACAAAGTTTGTATAGTGCATTGTTATCGACAATCATCATGACAACCAAGTTTACAACCACACATGATGTTTATTGATGAAGATTCATTGGATCTAGTTGTTGGGCTATGTAGGGCTGAACAAAGAACACTCGAATGCAGCTGTAATAAAAACCAGTTATGTAAGTGATCAGCCATTGTATACTTTCCACGAGACACCATGACTGAAGCTCTATTGTAAGGCGTAGCCATTGCTAACATTCAAGATTGCGATTCTGATTGGGGACCTCCATGACCCTTCGTGCTGTTTTGGTCTCTCCTATTTTTTCTTGTTATCACTGCCCATCGCTTTTATCTTCAAAACGAGCAAGGCTTGTATATAGACATAATCCTGCTACTGCAACCATGGAAACGGTTGCCCTGGCAATCAATGGCAATTTTCCCTTGATACTAGATCAAGTCGGACCATCATGATGGGATGTAGCGTTCGACTCGGTCCCTTTGAGCACCCGAGTCATGGTAGAGGTGAGTGTGGAAGGATGTTAAAGACAGGGACCTAGTTTATTGACATACGACCTTGTTGGGAAATGTGCCTGTGTATGTGTTGTGTGTGTGTGTGCGTGAGAGCGGGAAGAGGGAGCATATATATTTGTTGTACAGGCGGCGGATTTTGGCGCCAGGCCATGCAAGGCATGTTTTGATGTGTCCTCTTTTGGAGATGCTCGGGGAAAACGACGCCACGCAAACACAAAAACATCACGCTTGCATAAGAATAGGTACATTGTGCTTTTTTCTTCTTCTTCACCTCTTTTTCTCTTTTCCAAACCAAGATTGTATAATACTTCCACTACTACCACTCTATTCAACAAAGCAGCTACCACACACGGTCCTTGTCAAGAGCCATCTTACGGCATATTTACATTATTGTCATCATTATCAGACGATGAATTACAACACTACCGACTATTCTTCTTTGGCTCCTCCCACCCCACCACCATTGAATGACATGAAATCATCACAATCACCTCGTCTAAATACCAGCACCATTGGCATGCATTTCTTGGGCAAATCCTCCTTACGTCCATCACCATCAACGCCATCATTTATGCGACGTGCACAGAGCCCATCGCAGCAGCAATACCATCGACGAAGGCGATTATCGGTATCATCAGCATCAAGCGAATCATCTACGCAATCCAGCACAGCGTCAGCTTTGTTTTCACATATTGATCCTGCCAGTAATTTGACTGTGAGCACGATTCATGAATGTGCTTCTGTTATTTCATGCAGCTCCTCCACATCCATTCTGGATTCCGAATGTTGTTGGCCATCTACTTCTACTACCAAAGCAGCAGCAACAGCAACATCACCAGCATCAGCATCATCATCTTCATCATTGCCATTATCACCCTCATCAGCATCATTATCAACATCATCATCACCCGCACCACCTTCCTCTTTAATGACGGCAGCCGACATTCTTGCCGAGCTGCAAAACAACCCCAATGAAACACGATCCATTTTGGAGCATGCATTGCAAGCTACGACTTTTCCAAAGCAGCATCGTTGCGAGTTTTATCAGGCCGTTTCCCATTGGTCACAAACCACACACAATGTATGCGCCACTGTATGGATGGCACGATGTTTATTAGATGGATGGGGTGTTGCTGCCAATCCTATTCAAGGCCTATCTATGCTCGAAACCTTGGCGACGCGATGCGAGACGCAAGCCTATCTTCCCTTGGCCGAATATTATCGACGCCATTGTGCACGTAAAGACGCGATTCGCTGGTACAAGCATGCTGTGGATGATGCATCCACCGAGACTGAGATTGTTGCACTGGCCCAATTTCGTCTGGGCGAGCTGTTTGCACAAAGCAATCAAGAAGGAAGCCTGGCGTGGTTTGAAAAGAGCGCTCAAAATGGAAACAGGTAAACTCGTACACAAACATGGACATTGTCATATGTTGCATATTATCATTGCGTGTTTCAGAATCATTGCTCACACAACCATGCCTTCATATTGCGTAGATATGGTCAATACATCACGGGTATCCATTATCAACATGGCATGGATGGCGCAACCAAGAATTTGGAACTTGCCAAGCATTACTTTTTAATGAGTGCCGAGCAAGATTATGCCGAAGCACAAGCCGCTTTGGGCATATTATTGGTATCTCAAAATCATCATGATCAAGGAAAGCAATGGCTAGATCGAGCAGCTACCAAGGTAATGTTTTGTCAATGAATGTATACAATAGATCGACTCATTGTTTATTATCATAGCAACATGGGCGGGCACTATTGCAGCTGGGAAGCATGTACGAAAACGGCCATGGCGTTCTATCTGATGCTACACAAGCAATGGCGTACTACACCAAAGCAGCCACAGAGGGCGATCATCCTGTTGCACAATACTTGGTTGGTCTCCATTACCGTTTTGGTACACTTGGTGTTCCCAAGGATTACGCCCAAGCATCCCAATTCTTGTCACGTTCTGCAAATGCAGGTTATGCGCCGGCTCAGCGTGTGCTTGGTCTTATGCTTGCCCAGGGGTTGACTTGCTCAACAACAACATCATCATCATCATGTGAAATCGAAGATGAAGATAATCGTCAACGTGCTGCTCTTGCATGGTTTCGTCGTGCTGCTTCACAAGGAGATGTACGATCATTGTGCCTTGTTGGTACTTGCTATGAACGAGGTACAGGCGTATCCACCGATTATGACAAGGCGTACGAATATTATCATCGAGCTGCACGAATCAATGGTCCATTCCAAGCTGCTGCACAATATGTCACGGGTCAACTATTGTTATTACGCATGCACCGTCAAAGAGATGCTTACGAATGGTTCAAGCGTGCTTCTTCATCATCATCCAACGCTGCTGCTGCTGCTGCTGCTGATAATGAATCCGAGGATCCTGCACAAGTGGCTATCAAAAAGGCACGCGTCATGGTGGCACGATTCCACTTGCATGGCTGGGCTCACGTGCCCAAAGATATGAAGTTGGCTTTTGATCTCTTGCAACAATCGCTTCCTCAGCCGTCAGCACATTATTGGCTTGGTGCGTGTTATGAAGAAGGCATTCCCACCGTATGCAATCCCGATCCCATTCGTGCATTCCACCATTATCAAAAGGCTGCTGAAGGTGGTGAGACCGATGGCGAATTCCAAGTTGCCCTGATGCTTGCTAATGGCCAAGGGGTTCCCAATCGAGATCGACGCGCTGCATTCCCATGGTATGAAAAGGCCGCTGCCAAAGGACATCGCATTGCACTCTACAGCTTGGGCTTGTACTATGCCAAAGGACTTGAAGGTGTCAGCAAACCAGATGCCTATCGAGCAAGACAATGCTTTGAACGTGCAGCACGCAAGGGTTATGTACCAGCCATGACATCGCTTGCTATCTTGTGTCGTGCCATGCAAAACCATGAATCCATGTTACATTGGTATCACGAAGCTGCCGGATTAGGCGATGCCGTAGCACAACGCGACCTTGGTATGCTTCATGCTGCAGGACTTGGTGTTCCTCAAGATTACGCGATTGCATTCAAATGGCTATACAAGGCTGCTGAACAAAAAGAACCCAAGGCTACTCTATTGCTTGCAAGTTATTATCAGAATGGATGGGCTGTCCCTGTCGACTTGGAGAAGGCTCTTACTTTGTACCAGCAGGCTGGCCAGCTAGGTGCAACAACGTAAGTAGTATACAACAACCCTATTGTATCATGTGTACATACTTATCCTCTCTGCATAGTGCATGGTATGCAATGGCATTACTCTACCAATCCATCGGCAACTATGATCAAGCCTTTTTGAATTACAAGCGTGCATCAAATGATCAGCAACTCGCCATGACGACTGCAGGAAAGAATGCCAAGTTGATGCTTGCAAGATACATTCTTGGTTATTACCTTGTGGATAATGCGCCTGTATCCATCACCGATATGGATGGTCTCACTGCTACCAATGGATTCCAAATCTTGTTTGATCTCGCCAACAGTGGTGAATTCCCTTCAGCTTATTTCTGGCTTGGTGAGTTTATTACATACATATCTTTGATGACATCAATCATTCTCATCATCACCTTTATAATTTAGGCATGTGCTATCACCAAGGCAATGGTGTGAAGGAAGATCAACAAGAAGCGTTTGAATGGTTCTTCCTTGCTGCTGATAAGGCCAAGACGAGCGATGCCATGATGCGCGTGGGAATGATGTACGAACAAGGCCTTGGTGTTGAAAAAGACGAGCTCTCTGCATTTGAGTATTATCTCAAGTGTGCTGAACAAGATCATCCTGAAGGTCAATACAAGGTTGGCTTAGCTTATTGGCGTGGTCTATTCCATGTGGAAATGAATCTTGGTGAAGCCGTTGTTTGGTTTACCCGATCAGCATCCTCCTCTTCTGGTTGTTGTCCTTTGAGTATTTGGGCGCTTGGTCAAATGGCGTTTGAGAATGGTGACCGGGACGTAGCAGTGGCGTGGTGGCGCAAATCCATTCGACTTGGCCATGTTCCATCTATGCGTGCACTAGCTGGTCTTTTGCTTGAACAACCCACTGATAAGACCAACGCTATCACTACCGACATGGAGGAAAATGAAGACGAAGAAGCGATTGGACTCCTTACGAGCGCTGTTGAATCGGGTGATGCTGATGCTCTTGTTATGCTTGGACGATATCACGAAGAACGTGTCAAGTTGTTGCTACAGCAACAGCATCAACGCATGTTACAAGACGCCTTCATTGATGAGGAACAAGCCGAGCAATTATTGGAAAAGATCGATCGCGAACGAAATGCATCGATTCGTTGTTTTGAACAAGCAGCATCCATGGGGCATGTGGAAGCAATGTTCCTTGCAGCACAGTCGTGGCACTCACAGCAACAATTCGCAGCAGCACTTGAGTTTTATACTATGGCAGCCAAACATGGCCATATGCTTTCCAAGGTCATGTGTGCACGCTATCGTATTGCCGGACATGGTGGATTACAACCTGATCCTGAAAAGGCATACAAGGTATGTTTGCACTCTTTATTTTTACCTTGGCAACATGTATATCTTACTTTCTATTATCATCATAGGAATTGCTTATTTGTGCTGAAGAGCACCAATGTGTTGATGCATTTAACACGCTTGCCCAGTGTCACGAACTTGGTATTGGAACAGCTCAAGATGATCGATTCGCACTTCAATGGTACTTGAGATCGGCTGAAGCTACCCAAGATGCCGAAGCTATGTTCAGGATTGGTCGTATGCATGCTCAAGGACGCGTTCTTGCCAAGCAACTTGATAATGAACAAGACGATGGACATCATCCCGACTTTGAAGCATTCCAATGGTTCCAATTTGCATGTGAAGCCAAGAATCACCCACGCGCCCATTATCACCTTGGATTATATCATCTCCATGGCATTGTTCTCGAATCCACATCCTCAACACCCCGTATCCTTGTCCCTGTTGATCACGTGCTTGCATGCCATCATCTAGAACAAGCTGCTGTACAAGACGATTGTGATGCAATGGTAGAGCTTGGTCAACTTCTCATGTCATCTGAAGAACCTACACATGCCAATGCAGGTCTCGCATGGTTGGAAAGAGCAGCACAACTTGGATCCACGATTGCACAATGCGAGCTTGGCAAGTTGTATCATACGGGTACCAGCAATGCCACCACGACGATTGAGCAAAATCATGAAAAGGCCTATGACTACTTTTGCCGTGCGGCACAACAAGACAATGAACCCACAGCCATTCTTTTCCTCGGGTCGTACTATGAACATGGTATTCATGTTGCCGCCAATGTGGAAGAAGCAAGACGATGCTATACATGGGCCCTTGAACAACAACCTGGATGGTGGCTCGCCGAACTTGCTTTAGCCAAGTTGCTACACGCCAATAGCCAATCACAATCTGAAGCATATGCATTATTCCAAGCAGCACATGAACACGCACCACCTCATGCTCAAACATCAGCTACCCTCATGGTCGCCCTCTACGAGCTATATGGATGGGCTGGTGTACCGGCTAATCCCACACAAGCAGCAGCTACTCTGATAGAGTTGGCCGAGTCAGGTGAACCACGCGCCTTTTTCCATGTTGCCCAATGCTATGATCAAGGCAGAGGGGTCCAAGCAGATCGTGGCAAAGCTTTCGATTGGTATATGCGTGCTGTTGAAGCACATTTACAACACGATGATGATCTTCAAGACGACTACCAAGAACAAGAAATTGCTGATGCTGCTTTTCGTCTCGCCGAGTTTTATCAACATGGATGGGGCGTTCCTGTGGATCAACATAGAGCCAACGAACTATATTGCATAGCTGCCGAGCATGGTAAGTAAACAAAGAAATGGATCAAAGATAGCAATATTAATTGAGTTTTTGGTAACCATAGGCAACAAGAAGCTGCTCAACTAATACACTTTATGTTTTTTTTCTCATTCTTTCTCTTTTTCTCGATTCCTCACCCCTTTTTTCTCCCTTTACGTTTATACCATGCAAAAAGCTGTTTGAATCTCCCCCACATCATTTTATTCACTTGTTGTATTTGTATATATATATACCACTTCCTTCCATATATGATTTAGCATAATAGCCATTCTCTTCCATTCAATCACACACCCAATTCTCTCGTTATCGTTTTACATTTATCCATTTGAAGATAAAGACATAATGTCAAACACCTGTCTATCCTTTGTTTTTCTTGTACAACACACATTGCTGATATCCAATAAAGAGGTACATTCCCGGGTTTCAATTGTTCATTCTCCCGCTTGTTCCGCTATTGTTTATAGACCATTCATGAGACTCTCCTCAGCTATTCACCTTACGCGAACTGCCTTGCAGCCTTTGCAAAAGAATGCATGGATAAAGAGCACTTGCCTGCCCAAGGCACGGGTCCTATCAACACCCCTCTACCGACATGGCTGGCAACCTTCGACGATCCGCATGACAACCACCGCCAACATACCCACTGATTCGACAACAGCCGATTCTAAACCAAAGCGCATTTTATATGGCGGGTGGATCGACAAACTCCCGGAGAAATGGGCTCCTTATGCATTCCTTGCTCGTATTGACAAACCGATCGGGACGTGGCTATTGTTTTGGCCCTGCGGTAAGGGAGACGATATAATTATTTCTCCATGGCATGGTATGCATACGTAGAATATTTATCCGAGTCCTTTTTTTTCCAATATTAGCATGGAGTGCCACGATGGCAGCTTACAGCCATCATTTCTCGGAATGGGATACAGCCGTTATGATTGCCGCTATGGGATTTGGTGCAGTGGCTATGAGAGGTGCAGGATGTACCATCAATGACCTTTGGGATAGAAACATGGACAATAAGGTATACACAAGTGGATCACATGGAGAGACATTTGTTTATAGATGATAATCTATGTATAGGTGGAAAGAACCAAGATTCGACCTGTGGCAGCAGGCACTGTCACTGTCCCACAAGCTATTGCGTTCACGGGAGCTCAAATGTTTTGTGCGTTGGGTACATTTATGATGCTTAACAATTACACGTGAGTGGTTGGGGATGATGATGGTACTACGTATCCACCTCGTGCTAATCCATACTCTTTTTCTTACACAGCAAGGTGCTTTCATTATCCTCCTTAGCCCTTGTAGTAACCTATCCATTGATGAAACGAGTGACTTATTGGCCCCAAGTTGTATTGGGTCTTGCATTCAATTACGGTGCTCTCGTGGGTTGGTCAGCCATGACAGGATCATTGGATTATGCCGTGTGTGCTCCTCTCTACCTTGGTGGCGTGGCTTGGACATTGACTTATGATACGATTTATGCACATCAAGATAAGCGGGATGACGTGTTGGCAGGTGTAAAATCGACTGCATTACGATTTGGTGACAAGACACCCCAATGGTTGACAGGATTCTCATCGGCCTTTGTGGGTTTGACAGCTTTGGCAGGCTACATGAATGGTCAAGGTCTTCCTTTTTATCTCATCAGCGTGGGTGGTACAGCGGCTCATCTTGCATGGCAACTTAGAACCGTCAACTATGATGATCCAAAAAGCTGCTGGCAAAAGTTTGCTAGTAATAAGCAGATTGGTGCCATCGTATGGTCAGGTCTCTTAGCCGATACCGCTTTAGCCGCATCCTATGTAGCTTAAACTCATCTCACTCTCTCTCTCCCATGTATTACTACTACTACCACTACAACCCCATATAGAAAGATGTGTGTATATAAATCAATGAATTATCGTTAATCCCTTTTATTGAGGTGGATACTGGGGAGGATACTGAGGTGGATATTGGGGCGGGTAGCCACCTTCTTGTTGTTGTTGAGGAATGTAAAAACCACCTGCAGGATGTGGTGGTGGTGGATAGCTTCCTTGTTGTTGCTGGGGTGGATAACCTGTTGGTGATTGTTGTTGGCCTTCAGGACTTGAAGGTGGATAACCAGTACCATAAGGACCACCTGCAGGAGGATAGCCACTTTGTTGAGGATAGCTGTCAGTAGATGGTGGTGGCGGTGGTGGTTGATTAGGATAAGATGAGGATGATGGAGGGGGTGGATATGCTTGCTGTTGCTGTTGTTGTTGTTGCTCAGTAGCGTTTTGAGAAGGTGGTTGTTGAGCTGGTGCTGCTTGATTGCTACCACTGCTGGCACCTGCAACATTGATGTTGGAAGGTAATGACTCGAGTACAGGTGGCACACCAACTTCTGCACCATAGCCAGGTCGAGGTTGGCCAAAGTCTGATTTCTTGTGAAGAGGGCCATCGTCAGCTGCAATGTTGAGGGATGCTTCAAATTGCTGATAGGGTTCAAGGAACCACAATTGATTCAAGTTGTCGGTTTCTTTACGATTGTACAGCAGCACTTGTGCTCCACCTTCCTCGCTATCTCCCTATTCACCCCAATCCCAACAATGAGCATATCATTCATTCCCTTTGTAAAGTGACCTCTTTTACCTTGATGTCGAATACCATAGTGGGATAAACCTTTGAGCAAATAAAGCCATTCTCGAATGTCCACTATTATTGACAGCATTGATAAGTGGATTGGTCATAGTATCAATAGTACAAATCTACCTCTTGAGTATGATGCTTTTCCTTTCGCTTGTTCTGGATGATAACCTTGTCCCTCTTGAAAGCACCTATAAGCATAGTCAGCCATCAACTCTTCGGTGGATGATAATTCCTTAAGCACGTACTCGTTCTAATATCGATGACTGTATATGGAGATTAAGTCGCGTGCGCGGATAGAGTTAATTCAATTGCATTTATCCCGTTTACCCGCCAACAAAGAGAAAATCATGCTTATGGTATTTACCGTGTCCTGACTTTTTGTTCACAAGGCGTCCATCATCAAAAGACCATAACCTACACAATAAATGAAATCAGTCATATATCAAATTGGCCATTGATATCAAAGAACCCCATCCCTACGACTACACCACCTCTTGACACCATTCTATCATCCTACTTACTGGTTGTCAGAGTCTTGAAACTTTTGTGGCCACACGATAATGTTGACGTCAGCCTGTGTTGTAGATATGCAGAATATGAAACATGAAAAGAGGTTGGTTGGCTGGTTGGTTGGCCCGTTCATAATAGGCATGGTGGAAGAATTCACACGCGATGCGTTACCTTGGTTTCGCCATTGAACACGTCAAGCGCATAGCCGTGCTTGCGTGAGATAATGTAAAAGTAGCCAGATGGGAACATGCCGGCAAATTGTATACAGTGTTTGAGAGAGTCGGGTGAAAAGAAAAAGAAAGAGAGTGTGCAGCAGCCGAGGATAGGGCTCGTGTTGTACTCAACAAAGACAGCCGCTTTGCTAAAAAGTCCGTTCACAGGTCATGTTGCATGGCGCTCATGCATCTTCCATCCCCTATCATTCATGACCTTTATTATGCATGTAAATAAACAGTAATTGCCATCATCGTCAACCTTGGTTTACCCATTGACACAATCAATGATACTATAGAGATGGCATCCATGAATCAATAACAAGGAGCACTCAGCCATGTTCACTAATGTGTGTAACGATAAATGTCTGTGGTCTGTGTAGCGCATCTAACCAAGGAAAGTAAACCATTTGTGACCCAATTCCAGGGATTATGCAACACAAAGCTTCGCATCAATCATAGCTCTCGATTCATCGACATGAATAAAGTCACCAAAGGATAAGCCATCAAGTATAAAAGTAGGCCTTCATTGTTCGGAATTCTCCTTTACTGCTCCACGGAGTACATTTCGGATCAACAGTTGTTCCTTTGTGACATCCCGATTGTATGACATGCGTTTCCTTGGATACGGTTGTTAGATGAAAGGGTCATTGTTGTGGTTCAAAATCATAACAAAGGCGTCTTTAGTTCTCCTTGTTGTTCCATTTCTTATACATTAATGAGCATCATGTCCACTCTTTTACCGCTTTCAGCATGCCATCCTTTGGTATCATGATTGCAAAAGCCTGCATTTCTCATGTCCCAAACCACAGCGAATATTTCCTACCATATACCAAACAATATTCTCGTACTATAATAAACATCGGTGATGTACTCCATAAAAGATGCAAGTGCAGTAATCCACGACCTTGGTCTATTCCTGTGCATGGGTGGTGAATGTTGCTTATTAGCAAAACTTGATTCGCTTTGGAGAAAAGCACGTGTAAGCATCGGGCTATCATCATCCTAGATCTTCAATCTCATCATTTAAAAAGGTGGTAGTGACCATTATTGTAACAGTGACGCTCGTAACAACGAGTGTATCCCGAGATGACTATGTCAAATATGCATGAACCTACCCGAAAAGGAATGACTAGATAAAGCGGTGGGCACCTATTCTAGTACTTCACACGATAAGTGAAATCCGCACCAAACTCAAAACAACAATTTGATAACAACCATGGTTATGGACAATCCAACAAGGAAGTACAGAGCATTTTAGCACTATACGCATTGAACACCTAATACAATGTTATTACAACGTTTATTGGTAAACGAAAGAGAGCATACATCTTGTGTTCGTATCGGAAATAAATCATGTGAAAGCCAGCGAAGCGCCACTCTCCTAGAGTGTGGGATATCGCTATGAGTGTTGAAAACAGTTGACATCATGATTTGCCTCATAGTGCATGGTGAGTCATGGGACTTTTGAACGTGCAACCAACAGAGACGAAAAAGGGGGAAAAGGATTCAAAGAGCCCAACATTGAACAATTTGTTGACCTAAATCACTTTGGCTGCTAATGAATGGGTTTCCATTCACGGACTTGAGAATTCTAAAGAGCGATGAGGTCAATGCACTGGACGTATCCACTGTGGATTTCTGGAACAACACACATAATATGATGGCATCATTATAGCCAAACAAATGAATATTACCTATATACGCAGCATTAAGAATGCATGTGAGTATGATATGATTGCTGCAGGGGGGGGAGAGAAAGGTAAGGGATACACACACATACACATACACAGGAGTAAAAAGGTTACATGCCGAGCAAAGCACAAGAAGATTTTATTGTTCTTTTTATGCAAACAAGGCAATAAGGGGGGTTAAGGATCGTGATCTCGCTGATGATGATGATGATGATGATGTAGTGGTAATCAAAAGACAACCTTTCTAGAAGCGGATGATTCGGCGCCTGGATTAGTCGATTTATAAGATTATTGGCAAGGGCAACGCGACCTAACACCAAGTCGCGTTACAATTGACTTCCGCAGAAATGGGATTTGTGGTGTTCCATTGGATGCAATGGGCAGCATTAACGAGCGACAATTATAGAAGCAAATTTGTTTCACCATTGCCGCCAGCCGCTTAATCCAGGGCCATCACCCACCCACCCAC